GGGCCCACTCCCCCCTTCCTTCTTGCTGCTTGGGGTCTGGGCTCATTCCACCCCTTCCCGCTGCAGCCCCCTTGTCCCCAGCATCATGCCGGCGCGTTCCACCATGCTGCCAGGTCCCAGTCGAACGACTGTTCTCACACTGATTGGCTGTTTGTCAGCCAGTCAAAGTGTGAATAAAGTGTTACAGATGGAGAGACAGACAGACAGACGGACAGACTTAGGCTTTTATACTATTAGAATCTTTATGGTATTTGATTTGTAAGAACACAAAGGAATATTTCAATAATTCAGTTAATATATGAAGATGCTCTACAAACCTTCTTGCTGGTTCACTGGTTCATAAGACAAGACATATTCCTCCTGGCCACCTAAAAGTTAAATATATACATAAGGAAACATACTGAAGTGTTAAGAAGGTATTTAAAAAAACCCTGGTATGTTTAAAAGTGTATCCCTTTAAGGAAGGAAAATAAGATCCTCCAAATATACAGATGATGATGGTACTGATGACAAAAGCTCTCTATAAAGTGGTAAACTATGAAGGCACAAGGACTGGCCAATCAAAATATGAAATGGGAATAGCTGCTTTTTCCATTATAAAATAAACACGATATACATGGCATTTTATTTACAGCACGATAATTGTTCATGAGACATATCAGCATGTTAAATTTATAGAAAGCATGAGATAAGAAATTTTATGCAGTATTAAAATGCTCTTGCAAATGTGTTAAAAAACAAAATCCATGGACTTTGTCATTCACTGCTAGCAGAAGCACTTGCATTAAGAATATTTTCTACGCTTGGTAGCCAGCATGAGACCAAGATTTTCTAATTTACATAAAAGTTCATGTACATCACTGCCTTAAGCCGCTGCACTTCTTTCACTAATATACTGTCAAAATAATCTTCAAATGCTATATCCCTTAATTAAGAAAACAGACATTATCTTCCTGTTTATACTGAAGACCTAATTACATTTTATATATAACATTTTTTTAAAGTGAACTTGGAAAAATATTTTAATAACAGTAATATACTGTTCTCAGTTGCAGAAAACTAGTCAGCAGTGAATGAAATAAAATAAAATAAAATAATTTTGATCTTCAAAGGCTGCAAGCTTTTGAAATGTTCAATGCAAATATTTGAAATACTTCAGTTGCCATCTCTATTAAAACATTTAGTGCTTACTAACAAATATGCTTTTATTAAAAGGCTTCTGTAAGTTTCTAAATCTAGTCAATTATTTGATATGGCATACAGAATTTTTAATTCTAAGCCTATAAAGAATATACATTAGCTATTCTTTACATAAGATGTTATTTAGGGCCGCATCCAGACAAGTGCACATGTTTGGCTTGTGACATCTTGAAGTTGTCTGAGGCGCTGCAAACCGCATGTGGTGCATGTGCAAGCATTAACCATACTGTTAATTTGCAGCACAGAGCCAAAATTTGACACCAGGACATCCTGGTGTCAAAAAAAGCCACAGAAAAAGTGCCACACATGCGGCAGCAGCAGCACATGCCACCAGAAATGGAACCTAGCTGGCCAGGGCCACACTCTGACTGCCGGCCAGGCTCCGAGTGTCTGGACTGGCCCCCAAAACCCCAGGTAAGGCTTCTGGGTCCAGCCCTACTCCAGCCAAGACAATTTGTCCTGGCCCAAACCCTATATGCAGAGGTGTGCACAGCAGCAAAAAGCAGCAGCACAAATTTAGGCTATTTTTGCCACAGCAAATGCATGCCCTTGCATATGGGGATGCAGCCTAGGGCCGCGTCCAGACGAGTGTAGCCATGTGGTATGTGGTGCTGCAAACAAGTCTGTGGTGCCACATATTGCACATTCAAATGTTCTTCGCGTTGCAAGAGAGCACTGCCCATGTGTGCACTGCTCCGCTTTTTTTTCTGAGGGTATTTCTCACCCCTGGAAATCCAGGGTTCAAAAAAACCCACGGAAAGAAAAGCAGACTAGCGCACACATGGGCAGCGCTTGCTGCTGAAAAGCACAGCCACCCTGCACTGTGGCTGCCAGCCAGGCTCCGTGTGGCAGAATCACCGCTGCTACAACCCCAAGTAAGGCTGCTGGAGCCCAGCACAATGCTGGCCCCAGCCTCAGCTACCCCACCTGGGGTAACCTCCTGCATGCCAAAGCATGTGTGGCACAGGCGTTCCATGGGGACAAGTACCGGTGGTGCACTGCTCCTTGTCCCTGGGGAACCAAACATCCACGCTCATGTGCACACGGCCTAGGTGTTCAAATAAAGCTATAAAACTCAGCCAACCTGCCTGGCTCCTTTAAAAAAAATTCTTTGAAGTTCAGGATACATGTGTGTAAGCTACCTTAGGGCTGCAGCATACAGCTCCTGTAGGAAAAGATGGCAGCTAAAAGTCTTTCTAAATTCATATATTGCTATAAATATTTCCCCTGCCCTCTTCCTTTTGCAGAACAAAGGATGCATGTTTTGATTTTGAAGTGTGGGAACTTTGCTTTTAGGCTCTTTCGTGCTCAGAATCTATCATAGCAATAGATGAATGCTCATCAGCTTGAAACTTTTGTAGTTGTTGCAGTTGAGAAGCATGTTACAAGTTAGGGAGAAGACAACCATGCAACTTGGATAATGTAACACCTCAAAAGTAACTCGTGCAAATGGGTTTGAAGAAAGACAGTATATACTTTTGGAGCCTCTCAGGCTACAGAGAAAGCAATAGGACACCACTCAGCTATCAACTCATCTACAAGGGACTCTGACTAATGATTAATCAAATAGGGTTTTGCAGGAATTTACTTTGCTACAAGGTACAAACTCAGTGAGGCAAAACATTAAAACAGTGATACAATAGGATATACAGAACGCGCATTCACTGAAGGCAAAAAAGTATATATTGTCAATATGGTTAAATGCTTTAGCAAAACAGATAGTAATAAAATGAACCTTTGGAACAACCATACTCATCTGTAATCAAGATTACTTTCATATTAGAAAGCAGTAAGAAGAAAGAGGTCATTTTAATTAGAAGTCATTGTTCAGAATTTACATATTCAGACAAGAAATGCCATAAAACTTGTCTGTGTTTAGGTTTCTTGCCAATCAAGAACAAAGGCAAACTTCCAGCACCTAAAATGAACCAATTATCATACGTAAAAACAAGCCCTGAGGCGTAACTGGAAAACTTAATACAACTGCAGTTAAGGAGAAAATGTGAGTTCAGAAAAACAGTATTTAAAGATGATTTGCCTTTACCTGTGTCACTAACACAATAAATTAAAACTAAATAAATTTAATGAAATAAATTGAATTAAAACACAAGCAGTTATAAAGAGCTAGGGAACTTTCAATCCTGCTGTTTATATTTTCTATTACATGGAGTGCAAAAACTAGCCAGTTTCACTTTTATCTGCAATTAATTTGCAGTCCTGTGGTTCTTGGCACCCCCAAAAAGTGCCAGCTCTGGGCTTTCACCTGGTTTTTGACTGGAAAAACAATGAAGCAATTCTCCTGTCACAAAGAGCTCAGAAATAGAGGTCAGGATGTTTTTGAAACGCTGGATTCTGATTTGAATCTCTAGGTTTACCCTCTAGATCACGCCTCGATGTCTGCATGCCTACCACTGCCAACACTGTGCAGCATTCACACGGAGAATCACTGCTCTAACCCATTACGTTTTCATTGTTTTCATGACTTCAGCAGTGTCAGCTACAAATACAGATGAAAAATATTCATCGTTTACATTTTTTTTCCCATGAATCCTATTCCTGTTAGTAAAAATCTACTTTTCTTGGTCAAATTTGATCTGGAAATATTCCTTTCAAAGAATCAGTAGCTAATTTACCTGCTACAGACTCACTCCCTTCCTTACTCACCTATATTTAACTAACCACAGGTTCTGGAGAGCTGCTTAAGCATTCAGTTGGCAAACGTGGCTGTGAACTATGGCTTGCATTTTCCGCTCTAAGATATGCTGGTTATACAGTTATCTGCTTTTTCACTCCATTTCCGCTTCCCCTCTATTTTCTCCATCTGTTCTGTTCTAACCTAGGCCCTGATCTGGCATGTCAGTGGGCGAGTCTACACGAGACGCTAACTGCGCAGTAACCTAATAACCGTGTAGCAGTGTGCTGGGCAAAACCCATGCTAATACGCTACCGCACAGTATTATTAGGCTACTGTGCAGTTAGCGTTTGAAAAAATCCGTGTGCTGGCGCTTCTGTGGTAGCACAAGTTACTGCATGTTGATTTGATACTTGGTTATCCAAGTAGTAAACTTAATGCACAGTAACTACAGTGCATTCATAAATGTGTAGATGCACCCAGCGTGTGTAGGAAAATTCTGTGCCCACCAGGGGCCTCATTAACTTCTCTGAGGCCTGTCCATGTGGAATAAAGAACAAGACTGAGGCCCTGAATTTTAAGTGCTTTTAGACTTTGTGCTGTGGTTAGCGCAAGACAGCCCTATGGTGCTACTGCAATCAGCGTTCCCTCTACACTGTGCGGTGTGCGTGGCCATGCAGGCGTGCCTGGCAGTGCAGCATGAGCGTGCCTGTGCACGCTGCGCATCTTAGAAGGAACGCTGACTGCAATACAAGCAAAAATGCACTAATAATCAGGATATCTGTTCATGTTCATCATGCACTTAGAATGATGCAGTCTGGTGGCTCCATTTAACAATATTAACTCTGGGGTAAATTCCATTGATACACGGTTTATCCTCTGAAGACTGAAAACAAGTATCCATATTTGACAAAACTAGTAAAGGCTAAAAGCTGCAAAGGTAGAAGTAAATGCTCACTCCCCACACCTTCCTGTAAGGTATTCAGACATCCTGCTTTTAAAAAGAGAATGCTCCATATTTAATTACATGACTGCTCTATTTTTTATTAGGAAGCATTTTTAAGTAACTTAATATAAAACTTATTAAGGGTTTCTCTAAATTAGAAAGATGCACCGATGTAATTAAAGATATGATTTTTAAACTGATTTCATGCAACTGGCAAAAAAAAGACTCTGGAAGCTCTTATTTGGTTTAAACCAGGCTGATTTTGGCTCAGTTTGAGTTGATTAGTAATGGTCTTATCTTAAATTGAAATAAGCTACGCTTCAATCAAAACAAGAATGTTCACACAGAGGCTGGCATTGCTTTAATTAAACCATTAAAATATTTAAGGTCCGTAAACTGTACATTTGGATTTTGCCTCCACCTGATTAGAAGTAATATTTTATGAAACATGTAAACACCTGGAAAAAATACCCAGACAAACCCAAACTGAAAGGCATCAACAAAGAGTCAAAATAAAAACTTAAAACACTTACGGTAACTACTTTCACTATCGCTGGCATTAGAGGTAACATGCTCTGAAATTGCAACACAAAATGGAAAAATAAGGAAAAATACTAAGACATCAACTTAAAAGGAAAACAAGTTGACAAAAATAATCAAGACAAAACAATACTGACATCACTGAGAATGCTGAGCCAAACAGATAATGCATAGAGAACTCAAAGTATCCCTCTTATCCTTTAGCTGAATTATATAGAAAAACACTGATTAATAAAAAGGAAACCATTAAGTAGCACAAAAAGGCCACAGAAAGAATACAGCCTCACATTTCATGCCTGATTCTGAAATTTTTATTCATGAGCTTTAAACTGACTTTTGTTGAGCAAGAAGTACAGGATGGCCTCTTTATGGCTTTCAACTAAGGCAGAAAATGTTGTGCCGACAGTTTACTGAGCACCACAGAGAGTCTGAGTCCAGCGGCTGAAAATAACAAAGTACAGCGGAAACCAGATTCTTCATATAGGGGTGGTTTGCAACCCACTTAATTCACAGCTGGGTGCCATATTAACATGAGCTACTCCGCTGTTTCCTGTGCCTTTTACTTCAAAGACAATCACCATTGCATTCGGCTGGTGCACCTCACCAGTCCCAGAGAGCTGCTTGCTGTGATTCTATATACCCCGGTTATGCTGCAAACCTTATCTTCACAGGGGGCTTTGCAAACCAAACTCTGAAAAGCATCGAGGTTCTACTACGCAAGTGCAGTGTTCAGCAAGAGACCATCTTTTATGTTATTAAGGAATATATGAGGTATCCTGCAGAATTACCCGGTTTGTTTTTGCTTTGCTCTTAAGATCCTTTAAAAGTCTTGCACTGAATATCTATTTGGATCTTTCATGTATTCTACCAATGTATTTCACTAACTGTATTGTGTTTATATTTAAAAGTATTATACTTAGTTATTAGATTAACACAAAATCATGGAAGAGTTGGGACTTCAGGAGGTCATCTAGTCCAACCCCCTGCTCAAAGCAGGACCAAATTACATGCAGCCAAATGACAACTGCAGTATCCCGCATGAATGTGGCACCTTACTATGCTGCACTGGCTTTTACTCCTCTGATGTGAAAAATTCTAAAGTTTGCCCAACTCTACCCTAACTATGCAGTCAATCCAATAAAAGATCTCACCCAAAGAGATCCTTGTCTCGGGCACAATTCCTGGATCATCACGGTTACAACATAAGTCTAACACTACTAGACCTCACAGTGAACTTTACCACTTTTAGTGTTTTACCACTAGTGTATTCCAATGTTGAATCAATTACTAAACTGGAATGTAACTTATGTCTCTACCTTTATTTTGTGAATATTTGTATGATTATAGTATTAAAATGACTGTTAGAATATGTACAACCCACATTAAATTTGACTGATATGCACTCAAAATGCAGAAGCAGAAGGTAGTTTACAGTCTTTCTGTTTCCTTTGTTTTCACCTAAAGATTTCACCTAAAGAACAATATGTAAGTTTTTTTCCCCCAAGGATTTTATCCATCCCTTGCCAGCCAGCTTCCATCCTAGTTGATCTTAAAGCGAATGATTAAGCCTGTGCTTATGGTATTGCAACTTGTCAACGCCAGTATTCGTAATGTCACAAATTCAGTGCGACACCTCCACTGCAAAATCATGTAGACTAGGGGTTGGAAACATATGGCCTGTGGGCCAGATTCAGCCCACCGAGACACTAGATTTGGTCTGCAAATTTAAAAGGACTTTGCTTGTGTCCATGCCAATGATG